GGGATAACATGAGAACTACGTCAACTTCGTGCTATTTGTTTGGCAAACAGTCGGCGTTTCGCCAGAAGCCAAGTTTTCTCACCTCTTTCTTGTGGGTTTATTAAGCAACACGCGCAGTGAAATGGGAGCACCATAGCAGTTTATTTAGTCATAAGGTAGTGTGATTATGCAATTTACACGAAAGTATTTGCTAGTCTAGTAACGGATAAATTAGCGTTTGGGATGCGCATATGTGAGCCTTTAATGACCATGGCTCACCTATTAGGTATAGAATGACCATGCACACCTATCGAGTATTAAACGATTCAACTCGCCTTACAGGTATTAACTGACCTGCTCACACTATCAGGATAATGGACCTGCCGCCTATCAGTGTATTACATGACGCTGCTCACCTAAATCAGGTATTATGATGCACACCTATCAGGTATTAATGCGACCATGCTGCCATATCAGGTATAATGACTGCCCGCAGCTATCAGTATTAATGACCTGCACACCTATCAGGTATTAATGACCTGCTCACCTATCAGGTATTAATGACCTGCTCACCTATCAGGTATTAATGACCTGCTCACCTATCAGGTATTAATGATCTGGCAACACCTGATCACGGTATTAAATTGACCTGCACACCGTTATCAGGTATTAATGACCTGCTTGCCTATCAGGTAATTAATGACGCTCGACACCTATCGAGGATATTAATGACCGCTCGAACACTAAATCAGGTTTTTTAAATGACCTGCTCACCTAATCAAGGTATTAATGACCTGCTCACCTATCAGGTATTAATGACCTGCTCACCTATCAGGTATTAATGATGCATTTACCTATCAGGTATTAACGATCATGTCGTTAAGCTTACCTATCAGGTATTAACGACCCACTCTCCGATCACGTATTAATGATGCATTCATCTATCAGATATTAACGATCATGTTGTTAAGCTTACCTATCAGGTATTAACGACCCACTCGCCAACAGGTATTAATGATCCGCTCACCTATCAGGTATTAACGATCACGTCATTAAGCTCACCTGTCAGGTATCATCTCACTCACTTTCTCCTCCCTGTAGGTTGTGTGTAAGGGCAACGTGGTGCTTGCGTCGGCCCTCATCATGGGTGGACTCACTACGAGCACGCTCACACTCGCCGTCACAACACAGATGGCGCCGGAGTCACGACTCTTCGCCTACTACGTCCACGAGGGGGAGCTGATCGCTGACGGAGTCATGTTCAGCGTCGACGGCGCGTTCCAGAACCAGGTGAGCAGCAAAAAACCCATCCCTCGACGTTTCGACTTATCTGTCTGAGTGGTAGAACCACCCGAGCTGCCTCGGATATTGTCGCTGAGTTTGGTCGGGCTAGACCACTTTTTACGTGTTATTTCATTCACGTGTGCGTGTCAAATTGTTCATATATGGTGCATACCTCGTTTAGCGTTTACCTCCGTAGAATGTTAACCTGTTTACAAAGGACGCATGTTTCCTGTGATCAACCTTCATACACGGGTTTGCGTGGTTACAGGTGGAGGTGGAGTTTAGTCAGACGCAGGCGTTGCCGGGCAAGCAGGTGGAAGTGCAGGTCTACACTAACCCAGACTCATTCATCGGTCTGCTGGCCGTGGACCAGAGCGTACAGCTACTCAAGTCTGGCAACGACATCACGCAGGAGGAGGTGAGGGGGGAGGGGGGAGTGGAGAGGGGGATTGGGAAGAAGGCAAGGGGGTTGGAGAGGGAGTGGATTAGGTGTAGAGAAGGTGGGGTGCCTCCCGAGGGGGTAGCGGCGTCGCAGCCGCTAGTTTACGTTTAGTTCACAGATCGGTTTTCATTTAATCGGCATTTGTGTAAACTCAAAATAGTTAAAATCTAAGTAATATATAAAATACATTTAATTATCACACACACACACACACACACATATATATTTATGTATATATGTGTATGTATATATATATCATATATACATTATATAAAAATATGTCAATAAACAAACCTGGTGGATAGTGCAGTAGATTTTCGTTCTTATTAGTTTGCAAGTAAAACAGTGTGTTAGGTACGGTTGGTTGAGTATGATGTGGGGCACTTACCCCTAGATTCGTGTGTGTGTGAGTATCTTCTCGCTCTGTGTACAGGTGGTGGAGGAGCTGTCTACGTACGGTGGCGGCGGCGGTGCAGGGGGTCGCCCCGTGCCGCTGCTGCGCGGCGGACGCGTGGTCCGACGCAAGCGATCCTTCTTGCCCTGGTACTTCAACTCTGGGTCGGCTAGCTCCGTGATCCGGGTGAGTCTGTGGTGGCGGCTAGAGCAGCTGTAGCAGTGGTAGTGTCAGCAGCAGTAGTAGTAGCAGTAGCAGTAGCAGCAGCAGTAGCAGTAGTAGTAGCAGTAGCAGCAGTAGCAGCAGTAGCAGCAGTAGCAGTAGCAGCAGTAGTGGCAGCAGCAGCAGTAGT